AGAGTTGTTTACATTTTGTAAGGGAGTCATCAGATGCTTATCCCTTAATATGCCATCCACACCTCCTCTTCTGGGACTATGTCCCATGACTACCTCAAGAGCATTGGGGAGAGGGAATCAAATTTCCCCTACACTATGCTGCTGTGTCTTTTGTCTATTCTGTTCATCTGTCTTCTATCAACGAATATGCCACACTCTTCGGTTCATATATGTTAGGATTGAGATCTGACCCATGTCCATGGCTTCTTCTAGCACAATGGAGTTTCTCTATTTCTCTCACTTGATAGAGTGATCTTTCTCCAACAGAATGATATTCGTTTTCATGTGTACTGGGTCTTTGTAAATTGGGCGATTTTCAGAGAGTGAATTAGTGGCTTTTGTGGGTTCAGCCTTCCTGCCTCAGTTTTATTGTATGTGACCAGTCGTCTGGTCACCTCAACATTCTGGCTTCAAGGTTGGTTCTTCCCCCGCTGATTTCTTTTGTATTTGTTCTCCTCCACCCTCTTTTAAGTAGGGACTTTGTCTCTTAGACTAGGTTCAGTGGTACTACTTAATTTTAGTCTGTTTTCATAGGCTTTGCCCATTCCTATTTATCCTCTCTATCCCAATTAATTTTACTTAAATGGATAATTTCTCTTTCTCTTTTCCTTCTTTCTTTCTTTTCTTCCTTCCTTCCCTCCCTCCTTCTGTTTTTCTTTCTTTCTCTTTTTTCTTTTTCTTTCTCTCTTTTTCTCTCTCTCTTCTCTTTTTTTCTTTCTTTCTCTTCCTTCCTTCCTTCCTTCCTTCCTTCCTTCCTTCCTTCCTTCCTTCCTTCCTTCCTTCCTTCCTTCCTTCCTTCCTTCCTTCCTTTCTTTCTTTCTTTCTTTCTTTCTTTCTTTCTTTCTTTCTTTCTTTCTTTCTTTCTTTCTTTCTTTCTTCTTTCTTTTTCTTTCTTTCTTTTCCTGCCCCACTATAAAACATCATCCACACAGCTGCCAAAGTGATTTTCCTTAAGCTCGGGTCTGACCATGTCATCCCTCTATTCAACAAACTGAAGTGGTTCCCCATTGCTGTTAGGATTACCAGTGAGTGCCTCTGTTTGACATTTGAAACTCTGTGTCTTGGCTCCAACCTACCTTTTCAGTCTTATACATTCCTGCCCTCTGTACACTCTACAGTAGTCAATGGGACCTTCTTGCTCTCCACACCTGGCTGTCCTTTGTATCTTCGTCCCTTTCACCCTCATATTTAGGTGGTGCAGCTGCCCCCCTCAGCCTCTCAGAAGCCCTAATTCCCTTCAAGACTTGGTTCAGGAATTGCCTTCTATGTGGAAGTGAATCCAAAATGCAGGATGTGATGTGGCTTCCTACGCTGATGCTGACACGAAGGCTAGATAAAGTGAATTTTACTAAATAGAGTTACTCATCTCAAGAGAGGGAAAAGAGAGGTTCCCTTTTATCTAACGTACGTAATTATCTTGTACTTAATGTCAAGTCCTGAAATAAATCAAAGCCATGAGTTGAGGAATGAGTCTTTAAGTGAGAAAACAGGGTAGCAAACCCGCCACACTGGGGGATGTCCCCCCAACAGACTAGAAGGGAAAGGTTCTTATACTTTTAGGAGAAGAAGGGGAGAAAGTAGTATGAGGTAACAAAACCTGATTATGACACCGTAGTCACCCTTGGCAATCTGGGCAAGAAAAAACACTTCATTCTGGCTGTTTTGCCCTTCATACCATGAATCCCAATGGAAAGGCGCAAGAGCATGAGAAGCAGAGGTCCAGCTCAAGCTAGGTTCCTTTACAAGGTGAAATCCCTTAAGGTGTGGCTCAGCTCAACATAATGAAGAGTAATTATCTTAAGAGTTGGAATGTAAAGACATTACTGACATTTTGACATTCCAAGGATAATTTAAGGGAGTGGCAGTCTATATTACATTTGGTATTTATAATTTCTGTCATTCTATTGACATTTTTTCTGTCACTAACATAAATATAAATCTAGACATTCATGGTGTATAAGTATAGGCATCTATTGGTATATGTGTGTGTGTATGTGTATGTTTGGATATACATTTGGCACTTTCCTCTGTCTAGCACAGTATGGTTGGTCCCTTCTTTCTGGGCCTCTACATCCCCCCAAATTACCTTGTGCGTGCATGTGTGTCTGTGTGTCTGTGTGTGTGTGTGTGTCCACACACATATATACACATACATATATAACATATATTACATAGGGCAGCTAGGTGACACAGTGGATGGAGAGCCAGTCTTGGAGTCAGGATAACTCATTCTTCCTGAGTTCAAATCTGGCCTCAGACACCTACTAGCTGTGTAACCCTGGGTAAGTCATTTACTCCTTTTTGCTTCAGTTTCCTTATCTGCAAAAGGAACTGGAAAAGGAAATGGCAAACCACTCCAGTATCTTTGCCAAGAAAATCCCAAATGAGGTCATGAAGAATCAGACACAATTAGAAATAAATAGTAAAACGTATTACACACACACACACACACACACACACACATACATATACATACACATTGCCTATATGACATATACAATTGACTGGCCATGTTATACACAATACATTTGTGTGTGTGTGTGTATATATATGCATATATACATACATTACATAAATGTATATATAATACATCTGTACATATATACGCACACACATATACTATATATGAATATATATGAATATATATATATATATATTTATATACGCACACACATATACACAATATACCACATTGTCATATGATATCTACAACTGACTGGCTATACACATACACATACACATACACACACATAGACCATTCTGGCTTCCTTGCCAAGAAAACCTCCTGGACAGTACTGATGTGCTATGGTCCACAGGGTCAGTGTAGACCCACATTATCTTGGGGAAGTCTCTTCCATATGAAGTGAGTGGGTCACGATAGCTTATCTTTTCAGGCCCGTCCTAAAGGATATGACCTTAGGATTTTCAAAGAGGGGGATGAAGTATTTGAGGAATATCCCATTGACACTTACGTGGCAACTCCCATTGTTTCGCATCTGGCTTGTCTTTCCGATAACTGTTAATAGGTCTGTCGGGAAGGGGGGGGGGACTCTGCCAGGGGAGGTGGCAGCTAGTCTGAGGCATGTACTTGGGATCCCCTGCTACTTAGCATGTAGTCACAGGAGCTTTCAGCCCATCCCCCTCATCTCTAATTTCATTTCCTACAATTGGGGAGGAACTCAGATGTAGTGGCCCATGTCATTTTGGAACCATTTACCTATAAGATTGTCTTTCTCTTATTGTGAAAAGTTGTCTTTAAAGGCTGCCCCGTTCAAATGCCTGGGGCTGATTGTCCAATGTGTTCTTACCTTGTTGTGTGTTTTTTTTTTGAATAAACTCATTTTTAATTCTCTCTCCTGAGCATTGCCTCTTTCATCAGGGCCTGAAGTCCTACAAGAAGGTGAGGTGGCCTGTCATTTCAGTAACTGATGTTTGCTCAACCCTGTCCAGGAACTAGCCAATTCTATGTGAGCCTCTTGGTCACCTGCCCCTGCGGTCTCTGGAGGCCAAACCACAGGATGTTTCTTCCAGATTGTTGTGTGGGTGCTGTGCAGATATATTCAAGGCTTCAGGTTCCCTGCTCAGTCTCCCCCGCCCCCAGTAATAGAGGACTCTCTGAGCACAGCAGAATCTTCATTAAAGTTTGTGGAATGGGATTGAATTTGTTGAACAGTCTTCTTGAATACAGAACCCTCAGATCTCCAGAAAGTCTTTTTTGAAGGCAGAAGTATCATTTCCTCTTTCTCACTTAGCCGTCTAAGCATCTGGATGGTATGACAGACAGTGCTGGATTTGAAGTTAGGAAGACCTGAGTTTGAATCCTGCCTCAGACTCCCAGTCTCAGTCTCCTAATCTATGAAATGGGAGTAATGAGAAACCCAACTCACAGGGTTGTTGTGAGAACAAAATGAGATAATAGATGTAAAGTACTATAGAAATACCAGCTATTATCCTTGTCTAACATCCAGCAAATTGTTGACTGAAATTTTAAAAAGTTTTACGACTTTCAACTCACAAGGATAGTATCATTTCATATATGATCCCTCATTTCATTTTCCCTTGGGGCACATAAAGAAATAGTTGATCAGATCCCCAGATTTCACCTTTTCTTAAGAGATAAAAAAGAATTATTGATATGCCTTTGTTGCTAAATGTTTGAATAATGGATGAGGAGACTATATGTCTGTGTCTCTGGGCACTGAATGTTCAGAGCATAAAACAAATCTTGCAGGAGCCTCAGAGTTAAGGGGTTAGCTCTTTGTTGAGAAAGGTTCATTTGGAATTAGGGTTTTGTATTTTATTTTGTTTTTAAGATTTTTATTTTTATTATTTTATTATTTTTAAGATTCCAAAATCCTAATGAGAGGTGGCAGGGCTGGGGTTGCTCCCTCTCTGTACTTCAGGGCAGACACATGAAGGCAAATCTGGGCAGTCAGCTTCCTCAAGCTAACATCTTATTTCTACTTACCTTACCTAATAATTATCCAGGGAGATAGTATTTATTACAGATCGACAGAGCAGCAAAAAATTTAAAATTGATTTCCTGTATTTCTCCCTTCTCTAATCAGCTGGCTCTCTTAGTGATCTCTCTCTCTCTCTCTCTCTCTCTCTCTCTCTCTCTCTCTCTCTCTCTCTCTCTCTCTCTCTCTGTGTGTGTGTGTGTGTGTGTGTGTTTCTGTCTCTGTCTCTCTCAGTCTCTCTCTGTATATGAAGGGGAAAGAGAAGGAATTAAGCACTTATATTCTCCCTGCTATGTACCAGGCTCTGTGCTAAGCATTTTTGAAGACATATTATCTCATTTAACCTCCACAAGTACACACACATAAGCCGAGTGTCAAGGCCCATTGATAAATGTCCTCCCTGCTTTAGGAGAGACAAGGTGGAGTTGGGGAGAAGGGGAAATCCTTTATCTTTTTTGGGTCACTGAGTTTCTTTGGACTTTGGGCATTTATAACGTCCAGCTTCGAGAGAGATGGCGTTCACCACCCACTTCAGATTGCTGAAGGAAGGCTCTGGGCAGAAGTCACCATGGGAGGAGCTGGCTGTCTCCATCATGTCCCTCTTCTCACGTTGCTGCACCAGGTAACTTCCCCTTGGGTGAGATCTGGGACTCTGTCACTCTCTGGATTGAGCTGAGTTATCTCACTCCCAACTCTGTCACTCACTATTAACTGGTATATTTCTTCTATGTAGACTTTCTCTGACTTGTATTTTGCTATGATTTGGATAAATGGGTTTCTATGCTATTTTTATTATTTGTGTTCATTGCGGAACGAGTATGTTATGGGAAAGGGATTAAGACTTGCATATGAAGCTCAGAGTTCTCCTCTTTCCCAGTAATGAAACAGCAATCAGAAGTTATCCTGAACCTAAAAATCACATCTCCTAGACTGCCAATATTTAAGGAAGCAGATAGATGGAATTCTAGCCCTGTACCACCTCTCTCTGAGAAGAGTCAGAGGCCAAGCTTCTGTCTCCAACCTCCTGCTTCCCCTTCTGGAAGGAAATAAAGTCTCTCTTAGAGAAGGGTTGGAGGGAAAAGGCTAGAAATGTCTTCAATCCATTTAATGACTCCCCCAGGCTAAGTGTGGGGGGATGGCCCTTACCACATACATGTGTGGTAGGAAGAAAACAAGAGATGGTCTTCTCTAGCCTTTACTATGCATCCTCAGGCCCATCTTACCCTCTCCAGCATTGTCCCTCCTTTCTCAGCCTCAGTCAACCAGAAGACTTTGAGGCATCACACATTGGCAGCCCCTCAATCACTCATGACTGGAAACTGGACTATCAGTTTCACACATCATATTTACAGGAGGTAAAGAAAACCTAATGTGTGCTCTGACCACCCTACCAATAAGGCATAGCCACACAGAACTCAAGGGCAGACACCTTCTTGGCCAGTCACCCCATTATGCTTGGCACTGATTTTTTCCTGAGTCTTCAAGATGTTAAGTCAGTGAAAACTCCTATAAAATATGCAAAATGCAGTTCTTTCTAAGTGAACTCTACAAAACAGATTACAATTTCCTTTCCAAAAAATAATAATGGTCATAAAAGTGCCTTTAGTCACTTTACTGTAGACTTAGACATGCTGAACAGCTTGATGATTTTTCCTTTGTGAAACATTCTCAGTTTTATGTTTCAGGAAAGCCGGGGCAAGTTCCATACACTCCCAGATTCTCCCAGTGTATAAATGGCTTCCTGGGAGTCAGCTCAGTGTTCCATAAAAAGCATGGACCCCTTCAGGGCACTTCAATATGAACGAAACTACAGCGAGATTGATACACTCAGGACCAGGGGACCCAGAGAGGGTGGGCAATGTTCTGACTTCCTCAGCACTCCCTGGGGAAACTTACCCAGATGGAGATTCCAGAGGTTTGGATAGGGGAAAAGTTCAGCAAGACACAAAGTATGGATGATTGCTTGTTGTTATTTTGTTTTCAAGCAAAAGCTGGTATCTTATGTGATGCATATTGTGCTGCCAAGGGCATAGGCCATGTGTGTGGCTGAATATATTTAAATTACAGGACAGTATCTCAATGCAGACCTTATGAGGACAGATCCCATCATTAGAATGCATTCCTGAACATCTCCTATAATGCTAGTTTAGGACAGGTGATTGGGAAAACAGACACAGTGAGGGAAGCAATGGCCCTCTCCTGTCTGCCCAGGTCAGTCCGCATTTCAACCATCGTGATCAGCTTGGGTTGCCTCATTAACAAGTTCAATATCCAGAAGACGGCAGCCATGATAGGAGGCAATTAAACTGGCACTTACTAAGTGCTTAGATGTGCCAGCAATTGTGCTAGTCATTGGCAGAAAAACAGAACATCTCTTGACTTTAAATAGATGAGTTTCCACTAGAAAGAAACAGCACATACACAGAGAAGTAAATTCAGGCTATATTCAAAGTTAATACAATGTAACTTGGGGTGGGAGCAAGCACGTGGAGATGTCCAGAAAGATGCTGAATAGGAAGTGATCATTGAGGGTTGCCCTGAAGGGAGCTAGGGATGCCGAGAAATGTTCAAGCATGATGTTAATAGGGTCCTGTCCTGGGGTCAGGAATTGGGACTACCCCTGCTGCAGAGCCACATACTTGAATTGTTTCTTTTTGGCAGCTTGTAATATTTCCTTCTTTACCTGGGAACTCTGGAATTTGGCTACAATATTCCTAGGAGTTTTCCTTTGGGGATCTCTTTCAGGAGGAGATTGGTGGATTCATTCAATTTCTATTTTGCCCTCTGGTTCTAAATATCAGGGCAGTTTCCTTGATAGTTTCTTGAAAGATGACGTCTAGGCTCTTTTTTTGATCATGGCTTTCAGATAGTCCAATAATTTTAAAATTATCTCTCCTGGATCTATTTTCCAGGTCAGTTGTTTTTCCAATGAGATATTTCACATTGTCTTCTATTTTTCATTCTTTTGGATTTGTTTTACAGTGTCTTGATTTCTCATAAAGTCACTAGCTTCCAATTGCTCTATTCTAATTTTTAAGGAAGTATTTTCTTCAGTAATCTTTTGGACTTCCTTTTCCATTTGGCCAATTTTGCTTTTTAGGGCATTCTTCTCCTCATTGGCTTTTTGGACCTCTTTTGCCATTTGGGTTAGGCTGTTTTTTAAGGTGTTATTTTCTTCAGTATTTTTTTGGGTCTCCTTTAGCAAGCTGTTGACTTGTTTTTCATGATTTTCTTGCATCACTCTCATTTCTCTTCCCAGTTTTTCCTCTACTTCTTACTTGCTTCTCAAAATCCCTTTTAAGGCTTGATTCATATTTTTTTGGAGGCTTTGGATGTAGGAGCTTTGACTTTGTTGTCTTCTTCTGGTTGTATATTTTGATCTTCTTTCACCAAAGTAAGATAATATAGTCTGACTCTTTTTCGCCTGCTCATGATCCCAGCCAATTACTTGAGTTTTAAACTCTTTGTTAAGGTAAGAGTCTGCTTCCAATGTGGAGAATGTACTGTCCCAAGCTTCAGGGGTTTGTACAGCTGTTTTCAGAGATACTTGTAGGGACCTGTAAATTTTCAGTTCTTCCAAGGTGGTATGATAAGGGGTGAGGTGTTTACTCCTTTCCTGGCCTGTGCTCTGGTCTATTAGTGACCACAAGCACTCCTTTCTGTCCTGGAACTTTGAGAAGGGTTTCCTGTCTACAGCCACTACAAGCTCCACCATGCCAGTGCTCTTCCTGACCCCAGGACCGCAGCCCAGAGCTGTGACCCAGATCCAAGCACAGGGAAAGCAAGAGATTCCTGCCTCAACACTGGCAAAGAGATCCTTTCAATCCCTCTCTGATCAGCCACTGGATTCCCCCTCAGTCTATGGGCCAGAAGCTCATGAGGCAACTGTCCCCCCCTCCCCCAGGGCCATGCTCTTGGGGAACTGGAGTTGAGACCCTACGCTCCTCTCTCAGCGCCACAGAAACAGACTTTTCCCACTGACCTTCTAAGTTGTTTTTGGCATTCATGGGTTTAGAAGTCTGGAATCAGCCACAGCTACCAGTGATTCAGTCCTCTGAGGCCTGCTCCAGGTTTGCTATGGCCTCCACGCCCATGCCGCACTGCACTCTGCTCCCAAACCCGAAGCGATATACCTTTCTGATCAATCATCCAGGTTGTCTTCGTCTGGAAATTTGTTTCACTCTGTCTTTTTGTGGATTCTGCTGCTTTAGAATTTGTTTAGAGTCATTTTTTATAGGTATTTGGAGGAGTTTGGGGGGAGAACTCAAGGAAGTCACTGCTTTCATTCTGCCATCTTGGCTCCGCCCTACAACCCTCTCATTTTCAAGATGAGGAAACAGGTCCAGGAATTATAGAATCATAGAGTTAAAGACAGAAGATGGACATCATCCAGGTCCACCCACTGATTTTACAGAATGAAATGACCAAAAAACGTATTTTCTTTGTTTAAAAAATAATTTTAGCTCTCCATGGAGCATCCCTGGCCTGTAGTGGGCACGAGCTTTGGTTTGCCACAAGAATCTAGACTTGGCTTGGTCAAACCACATAGGATGGAGATTTGGTGAAACTATATAAAGCCTCATAAAGATTTAAAGGTCACTATGCCCACTGTGCCTGCCTCTAAAATATGTCCAAGCTAATGAACACGGCCTCAGGCTTAGCCTCTACTTATGGTCACTACCTACTGCTAACTATTCCTCTTGACAAGCCTGCAGACTCCAGGGACTCTGAATTGTTCTGGTCCTTCAGCAATTCTAGTAAAAAATATGCTGCCCAAGCACCTTGCTACTGTGGTATCCTGCCCATTAACAACTGAAGTAATCTCCTGTCCATGAACACTCTCCAAATAAGCTATCCCAGAAAAGCTTCTTGATATCCTAACACTGATAACTGCTTTCTAGAATCCTTTGCAGTGTGTAATTAAAGTCTTAGCTGCCTCTGATCTGGTTGTGATTCCCTAGTCCTCCCCTGATACCCTTAAGGCTTCTCAGGTGACTGTCATCTCTCTCAGGCCCTCCTGAAACACAGTCAGGGCCCATCTCTTATCAGGCAAATGGAAATTTTGTATTTTTTTTTTTAACACATCGATATGCAGAATGAAAACAGTCTTTGAAATCTTTTGGAAGTATAAATTTCCAAGCTATATTTCAGCAGCATCATTTGCAAATGTTCAAGGAAACAAATTAGGTTCTCGTATGCATATAACACCTCACTGGCTTAGGCCATAACCCAGCAAACACAACAGCCAACGGGCATCATTTCTTTAACATTTCTTTTGAGCTCAGACCTTGCTCATCTTTCTTCAGGCTCACTAGTTTCCATTATTACTAATCTTATCATTTCACATGTATTAACTTGTCTTTCACATGACATATGCCAAGAATTTTCTCCTTAATGAGCTTGTATTCCTGAGACAGGGAGACTGGCGGCCAGGCTCTTGGTGGAAAACTTGACAGTGTGTCACAAGACAAGCACAGTTAGAATTCCAGGTCAGCTTTGATAAATGGTTAGCCAGAATCTCTCCCCACCGCCCTGTGAAACAGGAATGCCTGCCTACCTTTGTTTCTAGGAAGCTTTTCCCAAATGGCTGCCTGTGAGGTTTCCCCAGCTCGTTCCATGTCT